AGTGCTGCACCATCAATCGATCCAAGATTCCGAGAGCTACCTATGATTATGGCCTGGCACTTGTTTGGGTTTACAGCTATGCCAAACCTCTCTGACCAATTTTGAACAGCTGTTAGATCACTATTAAGTTTACTGATAGCACTGGGCAGATCGTCCACCACAGATTGACGGTACAGCTGCAAGTCGTCCGCATACAAATGGTACGCACACTGAAGTTCAGGAGTGATAAGGTTGATAAAAATAGAGAAAAGAAGTGGAGAAAGGATGCCGCCCTGAGGAACGCCTGCCGTCAAGTCACACCAGTCAGAGAACTTCTCATCATACTGGACAGACTGCTGACGCTCCCGAAGGTATGAAGAGAACCATTCCAGTGATTTGCCAGAGATCGCAAGATGGGATAAGATTGCCAAAAGGATATCGTGACTGACCATATTAAACGCGTTAGAAAAATCAACCAATACCAAAAGTGTTACTTTGGTATCCTCCATACCAGCCCTAACATCGCCAGTCACTTTAAGGAGGGAAGTTATGGTGCTGTGGCCAGGTCGAAACCCAGATTGCAACGGGCTTATTAAGCTATGATTGTAAACAAAGTGAGACAATTGTTTATGGACACAGGCCTCCAGCACCTTAGATAGGAAGGGAAGGATTGAGATAGGACGGAAGTGGGTCAGCAGAGTGGGAGTACTAACCTTAGGTAAGGGTCGAACAAAAGCTTTACGCCAAACTGCTGGAAATACACCGGAGAACATGGAGAAATTTATAATATGAGTAATCGGTGACAGCACGTGGTCTAGGATATATGTGATCACTACATATACTGGCAAACCTTCTTATGTAGAGAATATTCACTGTGAAGCAGTAGACTGTTAGTTATTCACGTTGATATTAAACTTAGGAACAGTCAGGCTATTTTATTAGATGTCAATTCGAATTCTCGATGTGTGATGAATGGCGGTCCGCCATATTATTGGTTGTAAGAATAATCTCGATGAATGACGGATGAGACTGCGATCAAGCTTACTTACGTTGAAATATTCAAATACAACCTAATTTTAAGGTTGCGCTTTATAGGGTAGACGAATAATTTTTATTTTAATGTCCGTCAGGTACATTATCTAAAAACATTAGACACGTATTTTTTATTTTCTTACGGAAACGAATAGTTTCGACGATATATTGATTTTAAATAACGCATGACGTTAATTTGGAGTACGATTCATACTCTAAAATGACGTAGCTACTTCCCACTCCTAAACTTTTATTCGTTTTATCTAAGTATTGTTTTATTATACGACAAAATGAAAAAATACGTCTCTAATATTTTTCATTACCTAACTGATGGATTAATTAGATTTTTAATTTTCATACCCTGTCATCATATTGTCTATTATAGTTCTGTCGATACAAATTCTTTGTAAAATGACAGGGAGACAGAGTTACAGAATAACACTGCTAAGGAGTGGAATTCTTTATCTGTATTTCCTGAAGGGTCCTATACCTTTAGAGTCCAGAACAGGGAACTGGTGAATGCACTGAATGTGACGTGCAATAGGTTGCATCAGGGACGACGTGCTCCATCGTAGACCGCATCATCCCTTACCAAGCGAGATAGTGGTCAAACGTCGGTTCAATATAAAAAAAATAACCTAGCAGATGGTCAGTGAAGTCATGTGTTAAGACAAGTTTAAATATTAATTAAATTATTGATTTAACTGTTTGTTACATTGAACTCTTGTTAAACGATTAACATAAGGCCTTCAGTTAAATGAAACAGTAATATAATTACTGATCCAGTTTACGTTGAATATTAATTTAATAGAGTTTAAGTTTCCTTGATTAAATTGTTTGGTTCAATGATTTTAATAAAAACGTTCTAGAATAGTTACTCGTTAATGAAATTTATGTCTTAGTAGGATTTGTTGAATGGCCGTAACCATCTCATAACTAAGAGTTTCTTAGCATCATGTAACACTTAAATTAACCAAAGACTTGTATTGTTAGGTGTAACTTATAAGTTGGTGAAAACCATAATGAGGTTAAATGTCACCTATTTTAACTTAGGGGTCTCTTAAAATTTGGGGGAGGTTAGAGAAAACGGGGAATAAAGAGTTACGTTGTAAATCTATATCTCTTCTTTGGAAACAATAAATAAGGACATAGCTTGACATTGCGTTATTTAGCTTTTTTTAAGGGGGGAAAATCATCGAATGACTGCTCTCGCCTGGGTGAGGCGGAAGGGAGTGCCAGACTCTTACTAACTAAATACCACCCCGTTCCTTCTCCTGCACTTCGAGCCGGAGCCCCGGAAACCCGTTAGGTTCTCCGCGTCTGCGTTTTTACCTACAGTGGGGAAACCTACGGTCTTCTATCAAATATCTTTATTAGATTTGCAACTCTATAATTTAGGTATAACGTTGAAAATCTAATAATATAAAATGAAACAATGGTGTATATTGATTTGTTTTATAGTGTTGTACAGAAGATACAATAGCATTATAATATATTTTCATATTGGCAGATCAAATCCATTCGTTGTTCTAGTGTCGAGCATGAGGTTACGGTTCTAATTAGAGGTATTTAAATAGGCTGTAGATTATCTGAATAGGCTAGAGATATTATTGCGTAAACACTAACTCACAATGTTCTTCTTTATTCGAAGTTAGTTTTTTATGGATCACCTGATGGCAAGCAATCGGCGTCGCCCATACACCTGGAACACCAGAAGTGTTACAAGTGCGTTACCAGCCTTTTGGGGATTAAGAATTTGAGGATTGTTAAAAATTCGGGGATTGGGGAAATTGAGGAAGGAGGAAGGAGAAAGAATTGGGCCTCTGGTAACCTAACCCAGACGACGAAACCCAACGCAAGCGTTGTTTCACTTCGGTTTTCTGTGAGACCGTGGTATCACTAGGATCAAGCCGGCCCATTCATGGCTATAGTGTAATCGGTCTTTATTCTAATCTAAAATTTTGTTTTATCTATAGTGTATTCTTGTTCTTCTCTCGTACTTTTTATATAACATACCTAGGTACCTATACAAACGGATTTATTAATTCTTTTTTGACGTCATCTTAATACAAATTCCTTTATAATATTTAATTCGTCTATTGTGTAATTAACATAATACAATAATTGCAAAATACAATGTTAATATTATAATTATGTGTAAGTTACATACGTACTAACGTAATTATGATTTCCTTACATTTTATTCAAATGTCTATTCTTGGAACATCTGCCTTGACAACACTGAACTCGAAAATTGTTTATTATAGAAATTCAAAGGAATAAAAACTTTATTACAATAGCGTTTAAAAACATTTTATAATAAACACTTACGAGTAGAGAGAGACAATGTAGTTTTATTTTGATCCCTATTGTTATTATTAAGAATGTCATAAGATTATTAAGTTAGTAGACAATGGGAAGTTTAAAAGTATACTTTGGTTTAATATTTCCTTTTAAGGTTAAGTTTTTAGCCGTATAGAGGTTTCTTATGTTTAATAAATTATCAACTGATATAATTCAAGCGTGGGAGAGCCATGCTTTGGCGCGAATGGGCCGGCACGACCGGAGCGATACCACGGCCTCACAGAAGACCGACGTGAAAACGCTTACGTTGTATTTCGTCGTGTGAGTGAGGTAACCGGAGGCCCAATTACCCCCCCTCCCCTTACCCGAATCCCGAATAATCCTCAAACTCCTAATTCCAAAAGGCCGGTAACGCACTTGAAACGCCTCTGGTGTTCCAGGTGTTCATGGGTGACGCCGATTGCTTACCATCAGGTGATCTGTTTGATAGTTTACCGGCTTATCCCATAAATAAAGTATAAAAAATATACGTTACTAAAAATTACAATGATAAAATTAACAGATTTCTTTTTGCTTTGGCTTCGAACGATCGAAATCTGCTGAATGTATTTAAGTGATATCTTGATAGAGAATAAACTCGCTTTAATTAATGATAGAAAATATATAATTATGCTACAATAACCGTAGGAAAAATTCATAAATATCAATATCGGTCATTGCGTATTCCTTTTCTTATTATTAATATTTAAATAAACATCTTTTGTTTTTTTTTCATACCTTTTGTTCTTTTTTTAAACACAGATGCATCCAGCCAGTTAGTTATGGTTATTCATAAGCAACTGAGCCCAACGCAAGATTGTATTGAAAGACGTGTCAGGTAAATTTTTACAATACAAAACTCGCTACTCGTCGCGAGCTGTGACAATGTAGTTCATTTGGGTGAAAAAAAAAATTATGAGACATCTGTGGTTTTATGATTATTTTAAAAAAGTTGTATAGTGCATGAATGAGTGACAGTTATGTGTTACTAAAATTAGTGATTAAAATCAATTTGGCATTAAGTGATGTTATTTTTTAATAATGAATAAAGTTTTTTTTTCTAGTAGACGCTCAGTTTTGGTAAGGACTTTACTCCAGTGGTACAAAATGTGTCATAAATGTTGTAAAATGCTTACAATTGAGTTTGCTGTCGGAAAAAAACACCGTATGTTACAACAATGTGGTTACATTTACGATGTTACGTGGAATGCGTAATCCAATTTACTCGAAACATGTTTGAAAAAAAAATCTGCTTACAAAAGGAATTATTTTTAAAAATAGACACTATTATTCGTAGTGTAGTATCGACTAAAAATAAATAATCGATTTAAACGATCCGTACTAAATTAAGGTGCACAGACAACACTACTCTGATTTCACATTCGAATTTTAAAATTTTTAAAAAGTTGAATACTTACAGAGAAACGTATAAATTGTACACCATGACCCAATTCACAGAACACCACGTTGGAATGTGTAGTTTATAACCTTTATAGAAGCACGGTTCCACTTGGAAATGCACTGGTTTTGTACACAAAATTCTAGAATGCTGTTTAAAAAGTTGTTAAAGTTAAATTGACACGGATTTTTGTACGTTATTTCGGTAAGAATGGCCGGCCGGCGAAGCGTGCGCGTCGGACTGAGGCAAAATGTCTAGCGGGCTCGGCACTGCATTGGTTCGAAGCGGCTGGCTCGTCACTCCAACGTCATTTTTATCGCGCCACGCGCTTACGCCGTTTCCGTCACAAATCGTTTGTATCACTTACTTCTCTTCCATAGCTGGTTTTGTTAACGTCTTATTAACTAATTTATAAGTTTAAGCAGCAATGGTTTGTGTATTTTGAAATTTCACATTGTTCTTTACTATCTTGTGGTGCATATGTGCAATGTGCGCTTATGTTTAATGCATTTGAACATAATCTCATCTAGTATTAGTATTAACGAGAGAAATATCGATTTTATCTTTGTCATTTCGATTTTAGTATCGATTTAATATCGAGTATAAGTCTAGGTGACGTTGACCCCATTAGATATTTTTTAGGCGAGTCGATAGCGTGATTCTCGCGTGATCGTGTGTGTACGAAAACCATGCTGGGGAAATTATTCAAGCTATTTTGTTTTTTAGTGCTGTCAAAATAGGGTTGATTATGCAATAGGTTTTAGAATCAGCTGTTGTTGAATCAGTAGTAAGGTTCACACGTGGCGTGGAGTAGCTAGCAACATGTAAGCATGTATTTATAAAAATATGCATAAAGCTGATAATGTGAGTACTTCATTCTTAAAATTACTAATGAAACGTTCATGGTTTTACTGCATGCGTATTATTGTGATAATTATACGTATAGATTGTGGGCTGCTGGCTTCGCTGTGATATGTTTATTCCAATTTATCTCTTAATTAATTGGAATAAAGTCGTAAAAAGTTTCATCTCGTATTTGTCTTAAGTGACTCGAGGTCGGCGTGTCGTCCATTTTATTATATACTCCATGTCATCTATCGTCGTCTCTATCACTTTCCCTTATAGCTATCACACAGTCTCATCACCCTCATACCTTCATCCATTCTTCTTATATTATTATTCTTCTTTTTATCACACTTCAACCACTGTCGTCACTCATACATCCACATAAGATTTTCCTTATTTGATTTAAACACTAAACCGTTTTACGTTGACAGCTCAATAGCTCCATAACGATTGAACGAATTTGAATGCTATTCTAATTTTAAATAAATCATAATTCCACAAATAGGTAATGTAGCTATATTAAAACGAGATCAAGAACTATTTCGAAGATGAATGTACCTATCTATTCATATTCGATTACCTATGACATAAATCAGCCATTTGTTTAAATCAAAACTCGTAAAATTCATAAATGGAATAATTTAAGCTTTACGAGGGAAAACCTTTCATTATATAATATTATCGGGAAAACGTAGTTTTCTATATCTGAGACAGAACTTTCTAGAACATTTGTATAATATCATGTCTTATTGTGTACATAGTTTTTGTTTTTTTTTTTTTTTTTTGAGGAGGGACAGTCATCGAATGACTGCTCCCACCTGGGAGAGGCGGGAGGGAGTGCCAGACTCTTACTGACTAAAAACCACCCCGTTCCTTCTTCTGCACGTCGAGCCGGAGCCCCGGTTACCCGTTGGGTTCTCCGCGACTCCGAATCGGCATCGGCCCTATTGGGCCCCATCTGTGGTGGTCTTGTGTACATATAGGGTTAACATCCACTACCACTATAGAGAACTGTGCTCTGTATATGAATTTAATTGTTAAGAGTGACACATACTGGCTGCCTCGTTGGCCGAGTGGTCGCAAGTGCGACTACCGGGCGAGGGTAAGTATTACTGGGTTTAAAAAAAATCTCAGTAGTAACACGGAGTCTGGAATTGTGCCCGGTATATGACAATAGGCTCATCCCCTATAACATGGGACTCATAACGTAAATAGAGAAAAGTGAATGTTACTTTGTACAGTGGCATTAAGTGCCGTAATGTGCACCTCTGCCTATAGCTTCGGGGTAAAAAGGCGTGATGTTATGATACATACTTCGCGGCTATTACAAAGCTTTACATTGTGTTTTAATTATTAAACAATTGATATTTCCTTATAGTACCTACTGTTTAATTACCCATAGTAATAATTTGGTTTTGTGTGGCTTTGGTTTCTGAGATAAAGTGTAGTTTTACACTCATAGACTATGTTTCTGTTGTAGTGACATAACA